TGCCGGACGCGGAGCCGCTGTCTAACGTGCCGCAGACACTTTTCGGCGATTGCGGCGGCGGAGGGAAGGAGTGCGGGAAGCCGAGGATACAGAGGCCAAAGTCGAGGAAGGCGAAATCGTGCACGGTGAAGTGCGTAAACACCTGCATTCGCAGCGGCGACGGAGCTCCCGACGAAGGTCCTCTTAATATCAGAACGTGAACCCAGTGTTTAGGATGTCAAAACGGGCCGAGCTCGCGAACCGGTTCGAGGTTGGCTTTTTTTTACCGAACCGAGCCAAGAATATCTGAACCCAAATAAAAATGGGTTGAGTGAGTCAGCTCGCCACGAGTCGAGTCCAAACGAGCTAGCTCGACTGGCTCGTGAGCTGACTCGGGAGATGGAGTAAAAAAAAATTCTTACGTTGAAACTTGAAAGTGTTGATATTGTTGGTATGATATTTTGATTTAGAAATAATTTTTTATGTATAGATTCGGATCCGAAAATGGTTTTTTGTACATGGATTAAAATCTAATTGTATATAGATGAATTAAGATCTGAAAATGGTTTTTTGTACATGGATGGATTATGATTTTATCTATTTGAAAATGATTTTTTGTATATGGATTGTGATTGTAAATATAAATATGATTTGGATGTATTGGTATATTCTTTTTATGTTGATGTATCATTTGGATATGATTTTTTTTAGGTATTTAGAAAAATATGAGCCGGCTCGCGAGTTAAACGACTTGGGTTGAGCCATAAATTTTTTGGCCTAAATAGAAATGGGTTTAACGAACTGGGCTGAAAATGAGCTGGCTCGAAATGAGATGATCCGAATTGGTCTGAACCGGCTCGTTTGACATCCTTACCAGTGTTGGGTAGGCTGGTGGCAAGAGGAACACAGAGGTTACTCACCACCAAATCCCACTAGGGCCAAATATTATAAAAAAAATATCGTATGTTTTCTCTTTTATTTCTTAATCTGTGATTAGCGCAGTAATCACACTATATCACTTTAATTTTATTTTAATAGGTCATTGGTGATGTTCAAGCAAGGATTTATTTAGAATCCGTAATTGCTGGTAAATCTCTTCTCCTTCGATTAGAAGTTTCTGAAATTCCTTAATGATGTCATCAAGTATGTATGTTTTTTTTGGGGTCAAAGCGTGGTGGAATGCTCTGATATCTGCAACTTAGTAGGAGATGGATGGATGCAGACGAATATCCGCGAGTTTTAGGGTATCTGACTTCGGGTTTTGGATCTTTGGGTTCTGTTAAAAGATTAACTCCATCTCATTATCGCGCAAGTCGGATATCCGGATATCCGATCTAAATTCGGATACCCGAATTCGTCACTCTTTTTGTTTTCACACCAAAATTATAACCTGAATGCATATAGTGCTCACAAATTACAAAAAAAAAAAAAATGAAAATGGCTACAAAGTTCTCTATTTGATATCTCATTCAAATGAAATCCACAAAATTTTTTCCATAAACTATTTTAAAAAATCAGAAAGAGATATCGAAGTAGTAAAACCAACATATAAAATTTAAAAAAGAAAGAAAAAAATATCTGAAAATTTCTAAACTTGTAATTTGGTATGATATTAATTCATGAACTTATAAGTGCATCTATTTATTCTCGAATTTGTATTTTTGAACACATTAATTCCTAAACTTGCTCATCAGTTCCATAGCCGTCTATATCACTAATTGATCAAAACAAAGTTTAACAATTATTGTGTTAAAAAATATAAATTTAGGAATTATTGTATTCAAAAATTCAAGTTCAGAAATTATCGTATTAAAAAATATAAATTCGGGAATAAATAGGCGCACCTACAAGTTCATGAATTAATATTGCACCAAATTACAAGTTCAAGAATTTTCAGATATTTTTTCCAAAAAGAAATAAAATCATCATAAAAATTTGAAGAAGAAAAGACAACGAAAACTATCTAAAATCAATAGAAAAAATTAGAAATAAAAAATCCTAAATCGTGGAAGAACAAAAAACATAATCCTTATCCTTTTTGATGGAAACAAGATGGACAAGCTAAAAAATGAAGGGATTCAAGAGAGATCGTAGTAAAACCAAGAGATCTATGGAGAGAAGGGAGAATACAAGAGAGGGAATAAAAAAAACGGATGTGAGACATTAGGGTTGGTTTAGGATAGAAAGTGAAGTTAAAGATATTTGGGATAAACTAAAAAAAAATCTTTAACTATTTCATTTACATCAAAAAATCTTTCTACTTAAAATTCATTATAAAAAACCATCAACTATTAATTTTGAATTAAAAAGACCATCAACTATATAAATTATTTAAAACCTATCTTTCACTTTAAATTTATAAAAATATCATTAACTATTCATTTTAATAAAAAAATCATCATCTATCTAAATTACTCAAGAAAAATAATATGTTTTACATTCAATATAAAAATCTATAAAATTTGAATCGTAAAACATATATAAATTATATAATTTTAAAAATCACAATAAAAATAAAATGTTTATTTAAATATATCATATTTACACTTTATATAAATATTATAAATATCAATCTTTATATAATAAATTTATATACAAATGTTAATTTAAAATTGAATCTATTTTATTGATCGTAAATATTATATTTAAAATTTCATCATATATTAATATTTGAAAGGTTGTAAATTGTGTATATTTTATTGGTTGTAAATATAAGAGATAATATATATATTTTAAAAAAAAATATATGGTAATTTTTATATGTAATATTATAAATTGAGTATATTTTATTGGTTAAATTTTTTTGTATTTAAAATAAAATATTTTTTATAATTTCAAATATTGATATTGTTTTTATTAAAATCATTATAAAAATCTATGAAATTTTTTTAATTCTTATAGAAAAATCAAATTAATAGTTTTACCTCTAAAATGTCAATATATGATAAAACTTAAATATAATATTTGCAACGAATAAAATATATTCAATTTTAAATATAACAGTTATATACACATTTATTATATTAAGATTGATATTTAAAATATTTATATAAATTTTAAATATTACAATATGATAAATTTTAATATATATTATATTTTTATTATGATTTTTAGAATTTTATAGTTTATATATATATATATATATATATTTCTATTCAAATTTTATATATTTTTATAATACATTTAAAATAAAATATTTGTTTAGATAGATGATGGATTTTTTAATTAAAATTAATAGTTGATAGATTTTTATAACAAATTTAAAGTGAAAGATCGATTTTAAATAATTTATATAATTGTTAGTTTTTTTATCAAAGTTAATAGTAGATGGTTTTTTATAATGAATTTTAAGTACAATGTTTTTTTTTGTGTAAATGAGACAATTGAAGGTTTTGGGTTTATTCCAAGATATTTATATTTTTGTATATATTTTTAATCGTAGGAGTGTTTTAGTCTTTGTAATATATCCGATATCCGTCTCTATTATTTTAAAACTTGTCTCGAATTCGTGGATCGGATTTTTCAAATGGCATTTATTGTTTAGAACAATGTACACAACTTAATAGGATACGGCATCCATTTGTAATCCTATATAATATGAGTGTGTCTACAACGGTGGATAATTGGATTCACAAACTTTCAACTCCAAAGAATGAATGATCAAAAGACACATAAAACACACACCAGAAAAGAAAAGAAGATTGGAGAGAGAGAGAGAGAGAGAGAGAGAGAGAGAATGGACACAAAAGCAATGAAAGCGCAACTACTTCTCATTCAGACAGGAAGCTCTGCGTCAAAACTTCATCACATGGGAGACGACGAAACTCGTCTGCGATACTCAGCAAGAGCCCACAATGGGAAGGTGTTTCTGTAAGCACTGTAGTGCAACATGCAGTTCTTCATGAACGCCCCCGTTATCTCCTGCATCCATACATATATAATTCACCATTCAAAACCTTACTCTGAATCTAGAGTAAGACGCGCTGTAAAAAAATGATCCAAATGGCTTAAACCCAAGTCGAAATAAAGAGCATTTGGGTCCAGGGTCTGCTTATATACATCCTATGCAAGAATCTTGAAGTTTTTAACTTTTGAGCAAGTCACAATTTCCTATTAACCGGGTTTCACGTTTCAAAACATACCTGTTGAGGAAAATCTCCGCTTTCCAACTGAGAATTGATGATCAACTTTGCAGCACGGTGAAGAGGCTCTGGATCTCTCTCAGCCTGTTATGTAAAGAGCATACGAAACAATGTCTTTTAAGATTATCCTGTGGCACTTACCAATGGCGAAACAAACAACCTATTCTTGATAGTTTGAACCTGTCCCGAATGAAGTAGACCCATCATAGCCCACGAGGTTTGGACAAGGTTTGATCTTTCCCCATCTAGTTGCACATATCTCTGCACAGGAAGTATATATTGTTGGCAGGAACCGGGTAAAAGGTGAAATCGATTTGTCGTAAAAACTTTAGAACTATACCTTTTCAGGGCATGATAGATAGCTTTCTCCCCAACCTCCATTATCTTTTTGTGTTGTAAGAAGGAAATGAACGCCTTTGCGTGTAACAAGACAGTTGTCGTAAGTCTTACCAGCGGCTGCTAGGCCTGCAAGAGCAAACCATGTACCGTATGTGAAGCAAACTCCCCAGCTTCCGTACCTGCCATTTGAAAGAACAAGTTTTTTCGTTGGTTTTGCTGAATATTTGAGAATAATTTCGGACCGTATCTGTGATAGTAAGGTACCATGAACCATCAGGCATTTGTATGCGTTTTATGTATTCCACTGCTTTCTCGATAAAGGTATTGATCTCTTTTGCCCTGTGATCTGGGTACAGTTTCCGGAACAAAACCAATGCTTGGATTGCTGATGAAGTACATTCGGCATACTGATACTCAATCAAAGTGTCGGCGAAAAACTCCGTGGGATTGAACAACTGAAACGTGAACAAAACATGTTTCAGAAATTTTGTCTTAAAATCTATTTTTTATTCGTGGCAAAACATATTTGATGGTTTCAGCTCTTACTTCTAACCATCCATATGCACGGGCCGGCTCCCATGCAGTCACACCTCCATTCTTGCTCTGAACAAGTTTTCCACAAGGAAAATGAGCAGATGACAATTTTTCTAATCGCAACCAGAAAATTCGAGAGCTTTCGAGGAGATGGGTCCTCCTATGGACGATAATGCCTCACCTGTAAAGACAATATGATATTAACAGAATCATAGAGTCGCTCGGGATCCATTTTGGGGCCTACCATGTTCGGCGGCATAGTTGACAGCATCAGGCAACACTGCAGAAGCAGGAAGGATATGTTAATTAATACACTATTGCTAAAGTCACTCGTAATTTGCTCTGTTCGAATGATCTACAACCTTTAAGCCATCAGCCGTGCAGTCTGAAACTTGCCATCCATGATCTCGGTCTGAGAAAGTCCATGCCCCTTTGGAAATATGTCGGTACATGCTCTTGAAGTCATCAGAAGGATTCTCTATAACCTGCAAATTCCAATTAGGTATGAAACGTTCCAACTATCAGTCAAATGTTTTTTAAGATGCAAGAATATACAGCAACTAATACCAAACCTGAGACATCTTTATGAAGTTGTGTCCCCTCTTGAGTACATCGGAGATTTCACTGGAGAGGTTACTTGCTAATAGAGCTTGAATCGCAAACCCTGTATCCCATAGCTGACTTCCAAAGCTCTGCATAAATCCATAACATAGAGATTTTCTATATTTTGTTTTTTACCAATTCTTAGCTAGTAGACATAAAGATTATATTTTATAATTTCTCTTGCCTGCATTTTCATTCCGTCTTCTGCAACCCACAAGTAATCAAGGACTCTAGCAAGGTGTTTCTTGAAATAATCCCCATTCGGATCTTCAACCCAACAAGCCAACATGCATAGTGCCTGCAGAAAGAAGTATCGAGTTTTACAGCATGCAACTCAAAGACACCATTTCAAGCATATCCATTCTCAATAGGGCGCTAACCTTTTCAACGCATCCGATGGTGATATAACGGCTATTCTCGTCTTCATAATGTATGTGTTCCATTGCCACCTTAAGAGCCTTTTCCCTAAGGAGCTTGTTAAATGGCCAACGTGCAAGGAAAGGCTCCATTAAGGTATGAAGACAGTCCCATATAAGATCTTGAATCAAAGGATGGGGATAGTACAAATCTTCCTACAAGGGAAAAAATGGAATGGTTTCTCCAAATGTAACTTCTAGAAAAGATATTTTTGAGGAAGAATATGGATCGAGTTTACACCTTTGCACATAGATGACGAGCTTTGTTCCAGTTGATTGTTTCATAAGGCTGTAAGTACAGTTCCTCACGCAGTTGCAGAATAAGAGGTGTTATTTGTGCTGCAAATCTCTTCCCGTAAAGATACGACAAAGGCATGTAAACCATTCGACAGTAGCACAACATTTTTGCTGCATTTTCCATTTGCACGAATATTATAAAAAAATCAACTTGTAAAATGCATTTTCTGATGATCAATATCATATCTCTAAAGAGAACAGATAAGGAGAAAAAAAAAAGGAAGAGAAAATCAGCATTCCCTGTAGATTATCAACAGAAAAACAGAACCTAGACCAGTAGAAAACGGGAACATCACGAATTTAATTGCAGAAACAAAATCCTAGTAACCTTTATCTCCAAATCAGTTTGTAGAAATAAGTATCAAGTTCAAAATGTTACTAAAACAAACCAGGATGTATTGGAAGGAAGGAAGGAAGGATCCAGAACTCAGGAGGCATCGGATTGCTTCCAGCCCAATCAAAGACACCAAGTATCTACAAATACCATATTCTAATCAATACATCCTCCTATACAATTTTTGGTTAGCAAATGAATCGAGCTATTACCGAAAGCCAAGCTTTTCCCCAAGAAGGAATGTAGGTTACGCCGCCATGGCCAAGAATCCATTGTCGGGCCCTTCTGCAAGCGTTTTCTCGTCCTCCATCCAGACCTTCTCCAAGTATACGCATACATATGTAATTCAGGGCAGTGCAGAACATTGTGCTGTGACCTTCTATGTGTAGTCCCCACCCTCCATCCTCGTTCTGGAAAAAGAAAACAGAAGGTGAGCCAATTCTTGACATGAAAAGGAAACTATATATACGATGGATTTCGTTGTGGAACCATATTTGATGTACCTGGTGACAGTATATGTATCGGAGGGCTTCTTTTCGATGCTCTGCAGTGAATACCTCATCAAGATAACCTGTGATGTACAGACAGAATACCTGCAAATAAGATCAAGTTGTGATTGAATAGGACAGGTCAAAACTCATTTCATACTTTAGGCGTCAAATCCAATGCTTGTAAAATCGAAAGTACTTTGTGATCAGCACAATATTCATCGTTTCAAACGCTACTATTGAATGACGAGTTTCTGTAGCAATCGGAGCTTATTCTGCTAAGATTTTGCTCCACATAGCAACGGAAGTTTCTGGGAAAGCAAAAGAATTCCTAACGACGTTCCACTTACAAGAAAACAAAATAGCACCGTTAACCAATTTCAATCTCGTTCTTCCTTTTCCCTCCACAGAACATTAGAAACCCTAGTTCTACAATCGATGCAGAATATTCAGGGGGGGTTGAGATTGAACGCAGAAAATCAACTCACCAACGGCGGGAGGAAGAACAAAGGACCGGCGTTTTCGGCCGGCCAGTGGCCGTCGTCGGACTGCAACGCCGAGAGGAGTCGGACTCCTCTCCGTAACGCATTGGTCAGCGTTTCGTGCGTTATCTTCTCGGCATCTCCAACCTTCACCGGCGGTATCAGTTGCTCGAATTTCTTCTCCTTCAGAAACTGTTATCACATCACATGATGCACATTTTAATAAGAGGACCAAAAACACACATCTAACTCGGGTGTAAAATGTATATATATATATATGAAGTTTTAATTTGGAATAAATCACTGGAAAGCTGATTCAACCAAAAAAAAAAAAGTTTTAATTTGAAAATAAATATACCGATTTTTCCAAAAATATTAGAAAAATACACAAACTCCAAACATTATCAATTTTCTACACGAACAGCATCAAAATCATTATCAAATCACCGTCTCTTAAAAAGAATAAAACTTAAAATTTTATATACACGTACATACATATATATATACATACACACACATACACTTACATTACATATATACACATGTACATCTACTGATCTACACATACATATATAGATATATGTATGAGCATATATATATACACTATGTATGCATGTACATATATATGCATATATATATATATATATATATGCATATGCATATATGCATGGGCAGACCCATGTACAAGGTATATATATACTATGTATGTATGCATGTACATATATACGCGTGTAAATATATATACGTAATACACTTGGAGCTTAGGATTTTCATTAGATTTGAATTAGACAAAATTTATTCGGAGAAATTAGTAAAATAATGAACAAACGCTTACAAGTTTTATAAAGTGGCCGTTTTATATGTCCTTCTGGGTTGGTGTTAGTTTCTTCTATCAACTGTAGGTTTTATAATCTAAATTTTATATTTTAACAACATTTCGGTGTAATTAAATTTTCAAAGAGTTAGTTTCAGAAAGAAATAAATGAAAAAATTATTACTTTTACCAAAACACCTAAATATTTGGGTTATTTTTCTAAATTGTTTTGAAGAAAAAATTGCGTTTAGTATAAATCGAATTTAATTTAATTGTATATAATTTTTCTTTCAAATTAATATAAATAAAACCCGAACTTGAATAGATCAATTTTTTTCAGAATTGTTTCAAATATATTGACAAGAAACAAAAAGGGTTTAAACGTGTGAATCGTAAGACTATATTTACACATGCATTTCTATGTTTTCCCTCTCTATAAGAGATCATAACTTGTTTTAACCGGTTTAATCCGGTTTAAACAAATGTAACCCTAACTTGTATTAGAATATTTAATTACCCGTTCTCATGAATTCATAATAAAAACTTCTGGTCTCCGAACTGACCGATTAGCCACAATAAGAGAATGAAACGTGAAAAATACTAACAAGTATATATATATTTATATATATAATATCATTAGATACCTGCATTCTCCATAAAAGGTCGCTACTAGCTTTAACACGAGAACGGTTCTCGTAGAAACTCCGGCGACACTCCTCGACGGCGGAGAGTTCCTCCGGCGAACCGGCGTCGGCATCGCACCGTCCGCCATGATCCCTTACCCCAAAATAAATAAATAAATCTCAATAAATTATTCTCCTATCTTCAACTTCCACATCCTCTTAATTTGTGTTTCTCTGTGTATGTATGTATGTATGTATGTATGTATGTATGTATGTATGTATGTATGTATGTGTGTGTGTGTATATTTGCGTAGAGAATCTGAAATCTGTGTTTATTAAATTATAAAGATAATCGAAGTAATTACTAGAAATGAAATCACAAGTCCATCTTTAGATTTCATATATTCTCTATCTCCCGACAAAATGGAACTAACATATAAAGTATGTGAATGTTATAAGTGCATATACCCGAGAGGTCTGGACACACACACACACATATATATTCGGCAACAGTGTCTTATAGCTTTTATATTTACTTTTTTTTTTTGGGTAAAGTTTGGCCCGGTCGGATTCGAACCTGGGTTGATTACTTAGTATATATATAACTAAGAAAATTAATCGGTTGATTGAAATAAGAATGTTTAATTTCGATATTGTAATTTATTAAAAAAATTAGAAACATAACTATTAATAAATTAATTAAACACAATATAACACGTATATATATATATATAATGAAATTACTTGAGAATTGAATTATTGTCGATCCATAACCGTTCATAGTGATCGAGAATCCAGAGGGCAGACAAGGTGATATCGGTTACCGATTGAGATATCGCCACAGTAATGGTACAATTAAAAAACATCATTTAAAAATTGTAAAAATATGATTTAAAAAAAACAAAAACAAAATAACTTAACAAATTTTTTTTATTCTTATGAGAAAAAAAATATATTTTAACGCTAATTTTTAGGTATAAATTTATTAGTAGACTCTAACTCCTTTCAAATTTATCGTATAAATCTTCGAATCTCTACAAAATATTGAGCAAAACAATGATAGTCGCAATGAAAAATTTAAATTAACAATCTAAAATAATGATATTGGCCAAAATATTTAATACTAATATACTGTATCATAAATGTTAGTCGGACCATCCACATTGACGACGTTCATTCAATTATACAATATCACTATATAAATTTTATACAATAACCTTGTAATATTATCGAATAGTCTGTTAAATCTAAAAAACTGCCCATGATATAGTTTTTAAAACTTGATCAAGATTTTTATATTTCAAATACTGGATAGGAAAATTTAGATATATATTTTTTGTTTAATATATGTATCAATTTAAAATTGCGTGTTCTAAGGCTGCTTCTAGATCTAGGAGATGTAGGTTGGGCCGAAGGTTTAGATGAATCTCCCGTTGAAAAAAAAAGAAGATAGATACGGATCTCTACAATGGTTCCAAATATATCGACGTGTGAAGAAGGCTCATCAGAACATGACAAGTTGCCAACACACAAATATTTCCATCCATATATGTGACAGCATAGTGTATATGCATATTGGCATTAATGGACATATATATTAAATGATATAATTTTCAAAATTCATTACCAATATTGTTTTATAAAGGTTATGGTCATATGTAGGGCTTCGTCTGCCATCAATGTCGTCGCCTTTCTTGTGGTTGGAACAGGCGCCGAGTAATTAATTTTTTGCATAACGTTTGCGCACATACACATATATCATCACATATTATTATAAGTTTTATTATTTAATATTGTATATATTACAAATTTAGTTTTATTAAAATATGATTACCATGATAAATTAACACTGCACATATATTTCAATTCAAATTATAAAATATTGGATATCTTGATAAGATTAGATAAGAATGGAGATTTCTTTTATCATAAATCATAAATGCTTCATCAAATTTTATTTTGCATTTAATGCGTTATATTCAAAAGTCGCCGGTAAAGACAGGCGTATACGGTTGAAAGACACACGTGACACGTCATATTTCTTTTGCATTCAATTCTAACGAAACTTGATGGCATCAGTATTAGAGGTGGACTCGGTTCTTCATGACCGAATCGAACCGAAAAAAAGATATTTTTTTTTACTCTCCGAAAAATATTATTTTTAGAGAATCGAATTTTTCTGAAACCGAATCGAATCGAACTTTAAAAAATATCGAAAACCCGAATATTTTTAAAGGAAATCTATCTTTTTTTTTTTAATAAAACCCGAAATTGAACCGAAACGATATCGAAACCGAACCGAACCGAACACAATACAAAAACCGATTGGTATCTATTTTTGTAAAACCAAAAAAACCGAATCGATCTATTCCCGTCCCGAACCCGAACCGTTGTATGGGGAACATTTAATGGGAATGTTCAAGCACCGTCCGCCATGATCCCTTACCCCAAAATAAATAAATAAATCTCAATAAATTATTAGGTTACTCTTTCTATTATAAAATAGAATAAAAAAATTCTAATGTGAAATTTAATCATGATTTCAACTTACAAACAAACTATATTAAAGAAAGCTTTATTCATTGTGATATTGTCGTTTTCGTAATTCATGTATCTCTCTTTTTTGTCTTTTTCATTCGGACATGTCTTGAAATCAATGGTGGAAGGAAAATCTAAAAGATTTATGATAATATTTATTTATTTATATTTATTAAAAGGAAAAATGTCAAAAACCCACACAAATTATATCAAATGTGTAAAATTAGTACATCAATTTTTAATTTGACAAAATTCCCCACTCGATTTCAAATTTTCCCGTTTTCCATCACCGATTATTTCTTAGATTTCCAATTAACACCAGAGAAGGAATTAACCGTGCCACATCAGCGTCCGATAGCTGATGTGGCATGACACATCCGAAAAATACCATGTCAGATGGTACGTAACCTGCCATGTCAGCAATTCGGATTACTTAAACCGGTTTATTTGATTGCATCGGTTAAGTGAAAACCGAATTTTTTTTTTAAAAAAAATAGGATTTAGGGTTTGGCATTCCTCTCTCCTCTTCTCTCCTCTCCTCTTCTCCTAGGTGGTCCAAAACTCTTCCTCTGGTTCGCCTGCGTCGTGTGTGGCCTGCTCCATTTCTGAGTTTCCAAACGTAAAGCGGCAATTGAATAGAATTTCAGACAATTAGATTCACAATAGAAAAAGAGAACTAAAAACTTCAAAGTCAAGCAAGGAAACACACCTGGAGAGAGGTAGAAGAATGGTCACCAAAGAAAAAAATCAGCAGATGGACACAGGATTAATGCAAAGGGGGAGGTGATAACGAAGGACGTGTAATTAAGGATTTTTTAAATTCAAACAAATTGACAAAGAAGAAGAAGAAGAAAATCCAGAAAATTAATTAATTAATAGAACGAATCGAATGTGTTGGAATCATGCCATTGAAAATCTATACATGGGTCTGGAAAAGTGGGTGCACGTTAATGGAAAAAAGAATCCAAGAACAGAAAACAAATTACATAAAAAGAAACTTTAAAAACAAAATCCAAAAAAAAAAACACATCAATTTTTCAATTTTTTCAAAAGAAATTGAAGCAGGAGCAGGAGAACGACGAACATCGTGAACCACCGAAAGCAGGAGCGAAATTGGAGCAGGACCGAACCACCGAAGTAGCGAAACTGGAGCAGGAGCACGAGGAACCACCGAAAGAGCAAAACTTTAACATAAGCGAACCACCGAAGCAGGAGCGAACCACCGAGACGACTACCACCCACGTCGGAGCAACACCAACACGAGTCTGAGTCACACCGGAGCTCGTTCGTCTCACCGGAGATCGTCTCACAGAGGAGGAGAGGAGAGAAGACGAGAGAAGATGAAGTTCTGAAAGTGAGATCCCAAATTTTTTTTAAAAATTTCGGTTTTCATTTAATCGGTGCAATCAAATGAACCGATTTAAGTAATCCGAATTGCTGACATGGCAGGTTACGTGTCATCTGATGGGTATTTTTTCGGATGTGTCACGCCACATCAGTTATCGGACGCTGATGTGGCACGATTAATTCTCTCTCTGTTGTTAATTGGAAATCTAAGAAACAATCGGTGATGGAAAACGGAAAAATTTGAAATCGAGTGGGGGATTTTATCAAATTAAAAATTGATATACTAATTTTACACATTTGATACAATCTGTGTGAGTTTTTGCCATTTTCCCTTATTAAAACAAAAGACAAAGTTTCCCAACGCTGAATTTTTCGTACTTATTTGTAAGCATCATCATTTTTCTTTGTTACTTTGCTCATTTTATATACTCCCACACTAAAATAGGATTTTATATATTATTGGTAATATTGGGATTTAATATAATTTTATTTTTACAGATATATATTGAATAATTTATAGCGTATACTATAATGATAAATTTTAAATAACGATTATTTGTGATAATATTTTCTCAAATATCTATCATTTCATAAGTTTTCTTTTTCTTTATATACACACATTGTTTCTTTCTTCTATTTTTATAATATATAAATAAATAAATAAATTCAATGTTATATATATTCAAAATATACAAGAAAGACAACAGTTCCTCCAATTATAAAGAGAAACACAGCATCACGGAATATATATTGAAAATGGATTAGGATACAATATATTTAATACCACTAGAGTCTGTAATTATAACATCCTAACTAACCAATTAAAGGAGACCTATTATCAAACGTATGCGTACGTGGAGTGAAGTTAACGAAATACCCGAAAAATATTGAAAACATTAAATGATGGACCATACTTTTTTATTGGGAAAATTTCATATTTCCCCGCAAATTTTAATGTTCCAAATTCCTACACAAATTTTTAATTTGACAAATACTTATAACGGATTTTAAACATTTTCCAAATCTCACACAAAATATTAAAATGTGTTGTAATTTTCTCATATCTATAAACGGCGTTAAATTCCGTCAATTTTAATGCTGACGGAGCACTCATGCCACACCAATTTTTTCCGCCAAATCATCATGTCACGTCATAAAAGCTGAATGCGTTGCAACGAAATGGCTACATCGTTGGAAAAGCTGAATGCCAGTCTGAGATCATAAGCAATCAGTTGATTCAATTTTACAAGTTTTGGTATAACAGGTTTCATATGTGCTTGTTCCGAACTATGTATCTCTTCCTTTATCATGTGCAGGTGTTCTGTGTGTATATTACAGGGCATCTTGACAAAGTATTCACTGCACAGCATACATCTACCGCCGCCAGATACTATATTCCATGTCTCCACCAACAACATGCGTCATCAATGTTGGAGGACATATAGACCACAACACACGGGGTGACTTGAGCGCCCAATTTATAAGTATTCATCTCTAGATAAA